TTTAACGGATGTCCAGTTCTGTTTGGACCGCTCGAACTTGTTTTAGTGTATCAAAAAATTTGCTGATGAAAATAAGCCTCTGCTTAGTATCTGTTTATGCGGCTCCGTGTGTTTTGTCTAATCCAATACCGTATTTCTTCATTATATTTATCGTTGATGTTTATTTTATCCCTGTTCAGACGTCATACTTCAAAGCATATTTGTTCCTGATTCTTCTTAATCATAGTGACTTTTCTCTTCTCAACGGATTTATTTCCAGCGCAACGCCAAGTTTCTGCGCTATCAAAAAATTCGTGGTGTACTGTAAATTACTGGCTCGTCTGTATCGTCTTCAGGACACTGTTAGCTAGAATGTCATGCCCATGCATCTTTTTCTTGCCTCAGGTTGGAGGGATACATCTTCAAGGTTCTTCAATCCGTTCAAGCTTCTGAATGATTTCATGTAGAAGCTATTTCTCAATACCATTCAGATAGAAAATTTCATCTCATAATTCGATCTCTGGCCCCGTACGTTTGTCCGGGATGGATTCAGTAATATTGAACTGACTGACCCTCTTCTACAATACAATGGTGTCACTATAACACACTCCTTCATCGAACTCCAATTCTGTAACCAGGATGTTCTACTCAGGGCCAGTTTCTGGTCCACTAGACGTTGTTCGCTTGCACCACTCAAAGGGTAGACTTTCCTCCGTTCTTTTCCGGTAAACACTACTTTCCGGTAAACACCGATGTAATAGCACCTATTTTGCAACCTTGTTTTTTCTTCCTTCGACTACTGCTTGCGCACAAGTTGCCATTCTGCCACGTTCCTAAGGGCAGAAACAGACGAATCAGGCTCTTTACACCCACGTACCAGAGTGCCTCGGTTTCCTGACAGCATGCGCGGTCTTTGGTGACCTGATAATATACCGAGTCGGTATAGGAACATTTTCAACGAAACACTATAATGGGTAGACGGTAGATCGTACTTAGTCTGGCCTCTCGTCTAAAACCTATCAACATTCTGGGTGGCCATAACATCAACTAAATCTTCCACTGCCATAGCTTAGAGGGTCACTGAGGAGCGCAAGCCCTGCCGCCACGTCAAGAGTGAGATCCAGCAGGGCTATTTATTAAATTAATATTTGCAACCTTCAACAAGTGTCTATATTCCCTTGAAGAACATCTGCTATTTATGAAAAGAAAATCACCGAAAATTAAAAATGTTTCATATTAAGTTAATTTTTTAATGGAGGTTGCAGCTCTAACCAAAGTATCAAACGATGTTAACAGATTATATTTAAACATAATTAAACGGAGGTTATAACGGCCCCAATACACTTAGATGAGCTTAGTTGGTAGCGCATTCGTGATTTCGTTAAGGACTTATAATAAACAGGGAGGCAGAAAGTGAACCGAACCAAGAATTTAATAAAAGGGAACATGATAAAAAAGGAAACGGCATTAAACAGGATTATGACAAAGCAATTGGAGCCAGACTGAATTAATCGGATACACCTGTTCATAAATATTGAATCCACTGTGTTGACTCATAGGATTTTTTTTATCCACCTGAATTCTTCTCGGATTATACTAAGACAACAGGACTTAACGGAGATTACTAATCGCACCAACTGCACTTATGAAAAAAGTTACACTGAACAAACAGGAAACGAAACAATGGTCTGCCTGAGTGAGGATAATGAAAAGTTCTATCCCAGCAAAACAGAGCATCCCAAAGGACCATGTCATGTAGAGATACGGTTAGAACAATTCGCTGCGTACAAAATCTCTTATTAATTTTACCATTTTCTCTTTGAGAATTTCGTTTGTAATTTAAGTCATCAATAACAAAGAGAAATTCCGCTCTATTTTACACGTCAACACTGAAGAGGTTTACCTCGGTGTCTGTTAAAGTGTCAAGGCGTTTAGAAAAAATGTTCAAAAAAGCAATTTTTAAAAATTGCTTGCCATGCCCATAACTCCTAAACAGCTATTCATAATCATTTTTATCGATTCAAGCATGAGTAAACGATATTCCGATCAAAATCATTGTTGTTCAGTAAAAAGTCGTATCGCAAACTTTCTAGTTTTCTGCTTAAGTAAAAAATGACAAAACTTCAAGTACTTCATGTAAACTTTTATTTCACAGAATTACGACAAAAGCATTGAACAGAAATGATAACGTAACTACGTAATGCAATTGTTCGAAAAACCAGACAATGAATTATGACATACGACCATAAGTTTACCATTAACATCGTAACATCCGCTTTAAACACACACAACTTGATCTTGGTTCTGCAAATCACTAACTATTGATTTGCAATCAATATTCGGATAAAATGTACATGAGAGATATGAAACAAATCTGTGAAGAAACTTTACGTTTAGGTACAAGAATTATCGGCTGCTTCGGCTTTTTCTTCTCCAGTGGATTTGGTGTGCCAAGTGAGCCGCGCTTCGTAGAATTTAATCACCAGCTGAGGGCATCGAACATTAGCAATACGAGATGGAACCAAATCAGCCTCATCGCTTCCTTTCCATTTTATCAAAAACGAAAGTTCACCGCTGGAATCGGTCGCCCCTAAAAACCATGCCGTCAAAATTCAGCCAAAGTCAATGTCTAAGAAAAAGCTAAATACTTCGAAATAAGCATCACATTTACAAAATGTTTTTACCCAGTGAGATAACATCGACTTAAATTTCACAAAAGCAAAAGGGAACCTGAGCATATTTCTAATGTTTCGGTCCAAAAAATATTGTGAGCTATCAAAAAATAACTGATCGACAAGTATTCAAGTAGTATCCTACGGGATTCGTGTTTAATGTTTTGAATTCGTGCGGAACTATCCAACATTCAACAACTGAAGAAATTTTAGGTCTAATATAAAGTCACGGGGCAAAAATATTAGCATAGTAGCAGTGGCCGTTGTGTGCAAGGCGTTTATTAAACAATCAACTACTCAGTAGAAAACGTTTCAAGGCATGACAATGACATTGCTTATATTAGATGAAAATGTTTTCCCGTAGGAGAAAATGCGTCCCTAATTTCAAATACGTCAAAGGATTTACTTCTATCCAGAAGGGAGTGTCATACGGAAATCCCTCCTGATGTAATACCATGGAGAAAATCGTCAGACTTAAAACAAGACGGCTTTCCCCATGCTTCGGTAATTTTACCAGAAAGCTTTGGAGAAAGTTTTGTTTTCCGTCTAGCCTGTCTTACCTTCTGTTTCTTACAGAAAAGAACTACAAAGAAGTAAATTTCCTTAACAGATATTTTTTATCTCTTTCGGATAACTTTCCTGACCATCTAGTTCGAAATGAAAACCTGACTGCAAACGTTAGATTCACATAACACCAAGCACGACCTTCATTTTGCATACAATTGATCAAGAGACGACAGGAATGTTCAAAGCCTATTACTTAAAATCGTCCCGTGGAATACGACCACCAACAGAGACGCAGTGTGTCATCAGTCTTGAGTTCGGGAGGGGCTATAATAACCAAGAAAGAAACAAAAGTTCCCGCATCCTGGAAGGTAGCCATTAGGTTAAATGAAGTGTGAGTGATGGGATGTATGGCTAGAGTTCGTGCACAATTAGCGTGGAACTGTCAACGTTCAAAACTCAAACAGCAAATTTGGAAAGAGCAAAGGAGACTGACTCTGACAAAGTGGAACAGGATAATGTTTTGGAGTTGCCAGAACGATGGGACAAAATGTGAATAACAAAGACATGCTTCAAATGCAGCTAACCCTGGATGTAACAACGCTGACAACCGCATTAATGTCCGAGTTTGTTTGCGCAATAGGATGACTTTGATGAAAAATGATTAATACATGGATCGAATCGACATTTGCGGCTAATAACTGAGTGATCTTTCCCAGTGATTTAAGGATCTCTAGCAAATGAAGATGCACACAGTTCTTCAGGCTTTCATCCATTGCTTTTTAAATCGCGCATGACATGAATCAAAAAAGGGAATATGTTACATTTTAACTGCCTTATTATTATTAACATTGATTTGTGGCATTTCTTAAAATATTTAATCAAACGATGACTAGGCAAAAATAATGAATCCGAAAACTTGACATCAACATCACTCATACTCCACTGCATTAATCATTTAAGAAAACCAGGTTCGATTTAATTCTAGCTGATAAACATAACTGAAACTGAAGAACGTTTGTGTACATGAAAAGGAATACGTCTTGAGATTCTCTAGTAAGTAGCAAGAACCACAGAATTCTTTATATAACAGCAACCAAACGTTTCGATCAAACCGGCATCAATCACCATCAGGGAATGAACAATGCGATATGCAATTTCCAGGATCGGTTATTGTTTGACCTGAACTGGTAGAACGTCTGATTCATTACTGATAAAGCAATAAAGGCATAGGTTATCAATATGGTTAACATTAAGAAAATTAAACTACATGCAGAAGAAATTTAATATAACGAGCTAACGCAACTGCTACAAGTACTGCTTCGGTTTGATGTTATGTGCAGTGACTTATTGTTTAATAGCTACATTCTGTCGCGGTTTCGATTTGGCCAACGTACCTATAAAAATTATCTAAAATTCAGTGTCTTTATTCCTTTAGAAGACATGATATTTAGTGCCAATGGTATGATGAATATTTACAAAAAGAACTATATTTTCAAACTGATAAACTGTTAAAACGCATGAGAAACTTGACAAAGTGGCTACGCCCTGATCTCAACATGTTCCTCAGGGAATACCTACAAACGAGTTGTGTTTAATAAACTATCTGCTTTGATATGGTTTCCTTTGCAGTATGACTACCTACATAAAAATTTCTAAAAATGATAGATCTTAACTTATAGAATGATTATCTTTCATATATGAATGGATTTCAAGGATTCGAACGGCCAATAGCTTCTAGTCACATGAGGAACAAGTTAACAAAGCCATAATTCCATGGTATTATAGCACATCAACATACGGATACAAAACTGCATGCATTTGTTAGGTCGAACAAAAATGTTTTGGAACATCAACTGTGGTATACTTCGATCTATATGCATAAATGGCGTCGTCGAGTTCGAAATCCGTCCATGACTGTGCCTAATGAAATTGACTTATCTTTCAATCCAAGTCGGTAATACCTAGCTTTACCAGCATTATCACTAAGCAAATACGTTGCCTCCTACAAGACGAAGTTTAGACGTGAAATACGGTTATAAGACAGTAATCCCATAAAGACCACAGATTACTGGTATGGACTGAACAGCGAATCAATTTCAGCAATAAATTCAGCACACACCAGAATGGGAGGATTACCACTCTGGAGGTAAGATAACAAGAAATATTAACATTTCAGGTTTTCTACAGAGAATCAGCTTTCGATATCATCGATCGGCATAACATATAGGAGTCACTTCCAGGGATTCGAGTACCATAGCCACACTTTCCCCTTGGTCATAGCAGTCTAGGGACCGTTTAATCAGGCAGCGGCTTCACGATAGCACAGTATCTGCAGCACATGGCTAAATAATAGCCAACCATAACTAATTAGTAAGTACAAGTATTGGCCTGATCACCCTCTTCAAATGCTGCATTTTATGTGCATAAATAATCTGCTTTTGTGCTGTATTTCAAGTTCATGGAACAATACTGCCTCAAGTTCTACGAATAATAACCAATTATATCGTTCTTTGTATATTTAGCGGCATTTTGCATAAATTTTCTAGGCGTTTCATCTAAATAAAACAGGCAAACAGGTAAAACAGGCGAATGGCTTGAATCTACTTCAACACTGATAGCTAAAAATCCTTATTTGCCATTTCGAGAAACTGCAAATGGTCCTTGTGTACTGCTTACACTAGATTTTTTGCGTCAAATGGACTACAGTGTAAAGCAAAAGTTAGAGAGCTTAACCTAATCTATACCTAGTTCTACAGAGGCAGTTTTGATTGAAGCGGAAAGATTTTTGAGTTACAGCGGGATTTATAAATATTTACATGCAAGAAGACTAAAACTGAGAGCTCAGATTATAACTGGTCATTCGCAGACCTCATTTAGAAACAATGTTGTTATCACAGACACCAAAAAAATTTTCATTCAACGTGCGCTTTGTCCTACGTTCAAGTTTCACTGTATTATTGACATGCAAGTAGAAAGCAAGGAAGAGTAGTAATTCAGAAACTGTAAACAGAAAACTCATTTTTCATCCTTTCTTAGCATCCGTTATGCAGTGATGACACTAAAACCGTGACAAAAACGGACCTCTGGAAAAAGTAAATAAAATCTACAATAGAGATATGAAGCTCTGAAGTTAACAATCAAAACTATCGGAAACGGCGAGAACCACAGTATAATCATTAATGGAGATGAAAAGCATGTCTACTGTTGCAAATCTGGCTTAAAATTCACTACATTTACATACTCCTTAGTACGACTAAGACAAAATCACAAAATACAGCTGCTTAATCGAAAACAACTCATGAAAATTTATATAAATTTTGCTAACTGAAACGCGACATACCTAGGATTTTTTCTGGCTCCAAACCTCTGTCGAAGCCAACGACTGACTTCTCCTCCTTTTTGCGTTTCTTGGATTCATGCTGAGTCGGAGACCCTGGCACTTCTAAGGCAGACTTTTCCTTTGAAGCGTCTTGACGTGCTGCTTCGAAATCGGCGATTAATTCTGCGCAATCCAGATTCTCTACAGGTTCCCAAGTATTCTCCGAATCAGGATACCCCTTCCATTTCAAGAAGTACTCAACTTTCCCATTTCGCATTCTGCGGTTCAAAATCTTTTCAACTATAAATTCGCCCTCATGTTCTTCTTCTACCTCCTCCTCTTCGTCCGTATCTTGCTTTTCTTTGCCCGAATTGGACATGCCTTGACCCAAAACCAAACAACAACGCACAGATTTAAAACAATTGCAACACAATGAAATGGTCCGTGTGTACAATACCTGATAATCATATCTTACGATCATTTTACTTTTTTGTTATGTTTCTTATACCCTTATAATGGAATAATACAACAGAAATAAATTCAATCTAACTTTAAATAATTCTTCAGGTTTCTGATTCAGGTTTCATAGTTATATACATAGTTGTTTAAATTATTAATAATTCATGAACCAAATATTGCAAATGGTAAATAGTTTAATGCCATCGCGTTTCACTGCACAGACCGCAACGCCATCAGGGCGAATCACATGTCTAGCCCCTGATGATGCTGCGGCCCCTGATTACTTGACCAACTGCTAAACAGAGCGTTAGCGATCACATGATGATCAGCTCTTTATGATGAAAAATCGGTAAATTTTGAGAGGTGCTTCGTAGTTTGTCATTTCAATAAATCGCCTTAAATATATTATACGGGTAGTCTCAAACGTTCTGGATTATGTCTGAATTTTTTTCATACAAAGCTTTAGCATAAACTCTGCTACTTGGTATGACCCTCGCAGAAGAATGTGTGGGAGTGGACCAAATTGTTTGAGCATAGATAAATAATGAATTCAATATGCTAGTGTCAGGTCGCTTCGAACTTTTCGAATTTTGAACAAAAATTCTCTATAGAAAGAGCCAATTTTTTCTTTTATAGGCAAATTCTTGTTTGA